GATCTCTAAAGCTAGCTTCAACTCTGGTTTCTTCCTTCAAGTTTTTTGTTTGTTGGTTTGTTGGTTTTCTCTTCTATCCCTCCATCTTCTGGCCCTCACACCCCCAACATATGTGAAACCGGGAACTTTGCATGAAATAGGACTTTGAGGACTGAGTCATCTGAATAATATAATATAGAGGTGTTGTATATGCCCTTTTATTTCTTTTCCTTTTTATTTTTTTCATTTTTCTTTCTCCTCCAAATTTTACTGTTTAAACATCTGTATTTTTCTAAATACATATGTGTGTTTGTTTCCTGTACTCTACTGTCTTCCCACATACTTGCCTACCCTAAATTACTTCCTGTCTATTCTCTTGCTACTAACCCTCTTCACTAGATTTCTCCTTTGTACTTCCTAAGATATATTAACTCTGTATCTTCACATCCTACCTCCTCAGCATATCATCCTAAGCCCCACCCCCCAGCTCATTGTCCACCGTCAGAAACTATAAACCTTTTTACAAAACTACTGATTATATTTTAGATAATAATTGAATCCAACATTTCTGTACATTGAGACTAAACTGTAAACATCTTAATACCAACAAATTGTTCATAAGTGGTATATTGTTGACATTGGGATCTGTTAACATTGCCCTTCCCCACAAAGTAGAGGTCTTGGAACCCTACAAGAGCACTACAAAACTATAGGGTAAAAACAATAACACCCCAGACCCACAGAGCTGGAAAGGAAGACACAGGAGCAACATGAAAAGACAAGGGAAGAAAGTGCCCCCAAACAATCAAGACACCACATCCTTAGAATCATTGACAGCCATAGCAGGAGGAATGACAGAGAAGGAGTTCAGGATGTACCTGGTTAAAACGTTCTGTGAACTCAAGGAAGATATAAGAGAGCAATTATAGGCAATGAAAGATCACTTCAACAAGGAGCTACATAACAGAAAGCAAAAGATCACCTCAACAGGGAAATAGAGGTGCTAAAAAAAAATAGAAATCCTTGAAATGAAAGAAACAATAAACCAAATTAAAAGCTCAAACGAAAGCATCACCAACAGAGTAGACCACTTGGAAGATAAGGCCTCAGACAATGAAGACAAAATATATAATCTTGAAAAAAACAAATCTGAAGGCATCACAATAGTTCATTTCAAGACATACTATATAGAGAGCAATAGTAATGTAAACCAATGTAGTGTTGGCATAAAAACAGACACATACACCAATGAAACAGAACTCAGGTATAAACCAATGTGCCTAGAGTCAACTGAGTTTCAACAAAGGTGCCAAAACATAACATTGGAGAAAGGAGAGCCTTTGCAATAAGAAGGGCTAGGAAACCTGGATACACATGCGAACACACTCACATATACAGGGGTAAGACAACATTGTACATGTACACATTTACTTAAACTATGTACCATATACATTATTTTTTTTACTTATGATTTCCATATTTTTAAAAAATATTTCTAGTAACATGGGTTAAAAATTGCTTATGTTTGAAAAACATTCAAGTGACTTATAGGTTTCAGGATTTGATCTTGCATACACAAAGTAGTTTAAATTCCACTCCCACTGAATATTTGTTAGCATAGCAGCACTTGGCTAGTGACAACATCCCTCTTAAATTTGAATTTCCTCCTTCATTTAAACATTAGAATTAGCATCTATCACCATAATCAATTTATAGAAAGAAGTTAATCTCCTTTACCTTGAGCAGAGACAGTTTCTCAAGAACTAATGACAAAACCTTACCGTTTCATATGGAAACATAGGATACTACATTTATGTATTTGGCCAGGGAGGTATCTTTTTACATTTTAAAGTAAAATATAGTTGGATTAAACTGAAATAAAGATCTGCTTGAACTCATTTCAGGTTTCCTAGAGTTCCTGCATCCTGCCTAGCCATTCTCTAGTCCACAACCAGAGAGACTGAACCATAAGAATGGACACAAATCGCATCACCACCATGTGGACCTTTAAAAACCTCTGATTGCTCTATCGTATATCCAGTTCACCTTCAATGGACCTGGACAGCTCCAGTCAAGTTTTTGTTCATTGCTGGGGACATGGGTCTATTCCGTCCAGATCATTGATTGTCCTGGCCTTTTATAAGAAGCCAACTCATTTCAATTTGTGTCCAGGCCCTCTCAGTTAGAAAGAAAAAGTTGTATGGCTAGTTATCATCATCTAGCACAACGAAACCCAGAATAAGACAATGAATAGGATAGTAGAAAACACTTGGGAGAATAAGGCAGATAGGGGTGAAAATGTTGGTTAATGGATTCCAAGTTATAGTTATATAGAAGAAATAAATTCTTGAGCTCTATTTCACATCAGAGTAACTACAGGTTACTAAATATAGCTACAGGTTATAAAATGACATATATTTCAAAAAAAACTAGAAGAAACTATTTAGAACAATTGGACAGAAAGAAGGCATGTGTACTTGAAGAAATCTATATACTTTATTTCAACATTATGCACTTCTACACATAAAAGGAAATATCACATGGTGTCCACACATATGTGTATATGTAACATTTTATGTTTGCCCTAAAAATAAATATAAATAAATAAAAATGAATAAAAAAACAAAATTAAAACCAGGTTTCTAACTAAGTTTACTCAGAAAAATAAATTTGACATTTATTACAAAATTACACACAAAAATAAAATCATGAACCCACCAAAAGATATTTTTGTTATCTTGAGAAAGTAAAAAAATTGCTTTGAATATCTATGGTTACAGACTATCCAATTTTTTAAAAAAAATAATGAATGCATAAAAATTTAAATGTCTATAGGAAAAGGTAAAATGTGCAAGTTGTTTGTTGTAAACTTTCTGATGATTTTCATGATCAATAAGACAATTAAACAGGGAGAGAAACTGTATCCAAGATGAAATAAATGCTGAAAAGAGAGAGTGCCATATCAAGACTCACAAACAGCAATTCATGGAGAAAATAAAGCTTGCATGGTATTGAAGTCTCATGTCCTATTAATAAAAAAGACAATTCCCATTATGCTGAAAATGGTCCTCTCCTGAGGATGTTTCTCAGAGCTCCTTTCATATCCCGATTCCTCAGACTGTAGATGAAGGGATTCAACATGGGTATGACCAGAGTGTACAACACAGACACAATGACATCTTTGTCTTTAGTGCTATTGGATGAAGGGAAAAGGTAGAGTCCAATAATGGCTCCATAGTACAGAGAAACCACAGAGAGGTGGGAGCCACATGTGGACAAGGCTTTGCAGATGCCCTTGATGGAGGGTCTTCTCAGGATGGTGGCCCCAATGTGTCCATAAGAGACCAGAATGCAGATAAATGGCACAGCAATAACCAATGATCCTACAGAGAGGATGACCAGCTGGTTGATGGTGGTGTCTGAGCTGGACAGCTTCACTAAGGCAGAGAGGTCACAGAAGAAGTGGTGGAGAGTGCTGTCTTTAAGGAAAGAAAGACGGGCTAGAAGTAGAGTTTGCAAAAGAGCATTGGCAAAGGATAAGACCCAAGACACAATTACTAACAGAAAGCAGAGGTTCTGACTCATGATTCTGGGATAATGCAGGGGGTGACAGATGGCAACATACCTGTCATAGGCCATTGAGGTCAGAAGGAAGTTGTCAAGATCTGCAAACAAAACAAAACAAAATTCCTGGGAAATGCACCCAGCATAGGAGATGGACTGAGTGTGCGTCAGCATGTTCATGAGCATCTTTGGAGCCGTGACTGAGGAGAAAGAGATGTCGGTGAGGGCCAAGTGGCTGAGGAAGAAGTACATGGGGGTGTGCAGGCGAGAGTCCAGCCTGATGAGCAGGATGATGAGCAGGTTCCCCAGCACCGTGGTCAGGTACATGCCCAGGAACCGGTCGTTGTCCGTGCCTTGCTGCTCTGGCTGGATGGGGAGCCCCAGGAGGAGGAACTCGGACACACTGCTCTGATTATCCCTCCTCATGCTCTTTAAGTTCTCTTTTGCTGGAGACGAAACAAGAGTTGGAAATGTGAAAGGAATACTATACAAAAAAATTGGGAATACTATACAACAAATTCATGACTTTGAATTAGTCAGTAAGTGCATTTTAACCTGAATCTCTCAGGCTTTTTGCCACACTGATGGGCTAGTGAGAGTCAGGAAAAAGGATGATATTTGTCCACCTATAAAACAACTGAACATTTGTTGAAAAACCATGAGACATCTGAATGGTTATCAGATCCCACCAGGTTCAAGCTTAAGAAGTCCAGGAACTCATGATGAAAATTTGAAAACTATGTGCAAGACCATGTTTATAACAAGCTAATAGAAAATAAATTATCTCTATGGCTTGTTGGCCTCTCTTAGCCTTCCCCACACCTCTGGAACACACTTTGGCTTTTGTTTTTATGGATTTAATCAAGATAAGAGAGCAGGGTGGGCTGCTTTGGATTTTCAAGATAGCAGGATCTGGAGAACTGGTGGAAATATCATCTTCAGTGATCCAAACAAGGAGTTTAAGAGCATGAATCTCAGCCAATAACAAAATATCTAGTGACAAGCTTTGCAATGCATTCATTGGTCATTCCTTTAAGAAAAGTCTTTCCCACTAAATATTTTCAATACCATATCATCCTTTCTGTAGGAATTTTTGTTGACTGTGCAGCAATAGTAGGTTCTCTTCCAAATCCTACTTCCTATATCCCCATAATGCAAAGCAGGTCATTTTTATGGAAGTCATCAGAATACTGGGAAATACTAAACTTTCCTAGTCATATCTTCTCCTGCCAAACAATGACTTGCATCTGTCTAACAAAAGCAAATAATATTTTCTCCTTTTTCACATTTTCTAACCTAGGTTTTATGCCAAAGATTCTTAGTCTGTATTTTTTGGTCATGTTTCTGACATTTCTTCTATGTTGCTTATACTATCATTCCTCTTCTTCTCCTTCACATCAGTTCATCTTAGAAATATCCATGAAAGCAACCACACAGAATAGGAAAGCAGAATATAACTCATCTATTATATTCTATGTAAATATTGTTAAAACTAAAGGAAATTGTTCTTTGAAAGCTGAAAAATGTCTATCTCTCTCATCCCTCATTTGGGGAATTAACTAAAATTTATTTCAATGTACTAATTCTCCCAACTTGATTGAAATCATCTTTAAAACTCCTATGTTTAAAATTATGTTAATGTTATATTGTAACCTAGGATGGATTATACATTCAGCTATGTTACTACTGATTATCATGTTGGTATCAGTTTATGACAGTAAAAATGATAATTAGCTACCTATTGGACATAAAGGTTGTTTCTAATATTTTGCTATTCCAGCAATATTGCAATAAACCAAATTGTTCTTTTGCCTTTTTGCTTACTATCATATATATCTGTAGGATAAAGTCTCAAAAATGGAATTGGAGGGAATGTATATATATATGGTTTTGATAGTCTGTCAAATTACAAGAGACTTAGGTGATGAGAAAACCAATACTTTATGTGTTCTTCAAAAGCAGTCCTTAATAGAAGAACCTATTATAGAAAGATTATGATAATGAGCATTCTTATTAAGTGTCTGGAGAGGACAGGGATAGGGTATTTGAGGAACAAAGAAAACTCCACACCATGGTAAGCCTGGTAAATATATGATTTGGAGAATTATCAAGAAGCCAGAGTATGTAAGACCTTTTCTGCTATTATAAAACAATAGTAAACTTTAAAAAATTAAGTAAGGAAGTGACCAAGAATTTCAGAAAGCTTGCTTGCTACTAGATAGAGATCAGATTATAGCAAGATGAGAGCATCAACAGGAATTTGAATAATTTATTACAGTAATTTAGTTACAAAATACTACTTGTTGCACCTGGATAGGGCACCAGAGATGAACAAAATTATAGAATTTGTAAGAAAACCCAACAACACAAAATGGAGCTAAGAATAAGAAAAGAAGATATGATTTTTCTACCTTTTTCTCAAAAATTAGATGTAGGATCAGTATGAGACAAATTATGCTATCTGGAGATTTTTTTTCCCTGCCTTCACAATTTGGATAAATACTTATTCAAGATAAATTACTCTACACGGAGCTGTCTATCATAATATGATGTGATGAGGGATAGAATCTAGGGATTGGTAGCACACGCTGGACACACACACACACACACACACACACACACACACACACATGCACAGAAAAACACGCGATCATACTGTTTAATGTAAATTCTACCCCTGCTCTGACATGGCCATTAGATAATAAGCATAGATACCTTCAGCTACAAATCATGAGAAGGTTCTTCTCTGTCCCTCTAGAATGTACAAAATACAGTGAAGCAGGTAAAGTCTCTAAGGCACTCAAAGTTCCATAGCAACGGAGAGAAGAGCTGTCCACACAGAATCAAAGAAGGTAGATATATAGAGAGTTGGTTCACAGTTCCTGAGAAATTGGTGAGAGTACCAATGTTGCAAACCATGGAGTAGACCTGGGGACAATCCCCCATCTCAGCTCTAAATTAAAGACAAACCAGATATAATTACTTCATCACCTTTGGCTCCCTTGGGTGAAGAGCCACTTGTTGAAGCAGGCATAAGAGAGTTTTCCCTTGGAGGAATCATGACAAAAATCAAAAGACTGCAATTAGAAACTCGATGGTTCACCAGAGTTTTTGTCTTCTCAGTTGACCTTGGGAAAAGTACAATTCAGATTCCATAATAAGCCAAGCAGGAGGTTGGATGTGATAACCAAAGGCTCTTGCTTTTGGCGCCATGTTATATCAAGAATATTAGATAGGCAGAGGATGTAGCTCAGTGATGAAGCATTTGCCTGGCATGCATGAGGCTCTGGGTTCAATCCCCAGCACTCCCCTCCACAGAAAAGAGTGCCAGAAACACTCTAACACCCTCAATCTCTAAACAAAAGGGTACATATGGAAATTGTTTTTTAATTATGCAATATAGTTACAGACAACTAAAAGTTCAGATGCTAATGAATTAGTGAATTAATTTGGTACATTTGTATCAATGCATAAAGCATCATTCCAGAGAGTTCCCTAGCACACCTAGTGAAGATCATCCAGAAGTGATCATTAATCTTTTATCTTAACAATGTGGTAATGCCGTTCTGTAGTAGACTGTATTGCTGGCACTGAAGCTGGAATTTGCACTGGAGCTCTCTCTGCCACCATAGCTAGTGCTAGACCTGGACTGGAATGGTTCTAGTTTGAAACTGGCGCTACCTAGATCTAGCTGGAGGGCTGGTGGTAGAGCTGATACTGCAGCTGGCACCAATTCTGGTACTGATGCTGGAGCTAGAACTGGATCTGACTCTTCCAGTTGAACTGGTGGTATAGCAAGCACTTCAGCATTGCACTGCATTATAGAGAACCACCAGTCAAGAATTCCACCTCCAGAAGTCTTCAAAGAAAACTGTGCACCCAAATGAATCGTCTTAGGCAATTTCCCCATAGTGTAGCCTGGCCTCTCTTCTCCTTACATATTCACATGCATGTACCCCTAGTCCTCCTAGCCCTCTGGCTCTGCCTCAGTGGGCTCCAGGTGCTACAGTTGATTCAGGATATGATGGACATGGTTCCTGTCTGAAGCTTTCATGGATAGATGTTTCACATTCCTGATATCTCTTACTTCCTGGGGTATCCATTGTAGCTTCAGTTTCACTATCACAACTTCATGCACCACCTCCTCAACATTGCCCATGGGAATTTCAAACCTACCACTCATTTCCTGGCATCCCAGGCCTTCCTTTGAAACCTCAGTGGAAGCCTCCAGACCCTGTAATTTTTGCATTCCTCAAGCCTGCAAACCCAGAGCTACATTGATCATGCCAAGCCCTGCCAGCAGATTGAGCAGAAGCCACTTGAAACATGGCTACAGGGACTTCTTAGTATGGTGAAATGAAACCTGGGCTTCCTATGTGACCCTGTGGGAGAAGGGCACGCTGACTCTCATCAAAGCAAAGTCTTTCCAATGAGTTTTTACTTTCAAATCACTGAGTCTGGAATGGGTGGTGTCTTGACAATTGCTAAGATGCTTTCAAGTCATCTTTTCTCTTGTCCAGGTGCAAAGTATTTGGCTTCTTGATAATGATGCTAGTCTTTTCAGCATCATGGCCCCAAATTTACACAGGTTTTTTTCTGACCCAACTGCACATTGTTTAAATCTTTCTCCACTGCTTCTTGTTGTAAACCTGTCTAAATGCTGCCAGCAATACCTATGCTGCTGCTGATGGCTCTACTGCCTTGAAGTTTCCTCTGCCAGATTACTTAGCCCATTGCCTTTAAGTTCTGTCTCACGCTAATTCTCATGTAAAGGACAGGATGTAAATAAATTTTTTACCATAGGTAACGTGGACGACTTCTAGTCCAGTTTCCAATAGAGTCTTCATGTCCATCTAAAACCTAATGAGTACAGTCTCTACCTGTCCACATTCTCATCAGCATTTTGTTCTTATAAGCTCACACCAGAAATGTCCATTTTGTTCTGCTTCAATTCTAGGCTTATTCTTATATTCTAGGACCACCCAGGGAGCGGCTTCCTCCACGCTACCCCTCCCCGCCTTCCCCCCACCACGGTGAGCAGAGATGGGGCCGCTGCCTCCGGGTGTTCTTCGCCCTAGATGTGGTCGCCCAGCCCAGTCCTCCTGGCTTTCCTTTCCCTCCACACTCCTTCGTGCCTGTGGGCGTGGGGACTCAGGGACCCAGTGCGTGGAGACTGGGTTGGCAGAAGATAGAGAAAAGAGAAGCGCTTCTTATATACAAAACTAGTATCTGCTGGAAATAGACAGAAGCACACTTTATCATCCCTCCTGTATTGCTATTCAGGAGTCAGCAAAAGTAGGTGATCAAGCCCAAAGGGGGGTCCTGAAAGGTGTTGATGACCTAGACTTCTTCATTGGTGATGAAGCAATAGAAAAACTTACATATGCAACAAAGTGGCCAATCCACCTTGGCACAGTTGAAGATTG